TGGGGCCCCTACCAACCGCGTTCCCAATTCCTACGGGCAGGGCAGCGAGGCCTGCACCTGCGACGGCACCGACTACAAGCTCAGCCTGGCCGGACGCCGCAAGAAGCTCTTCAAGAAGAGTAAGTGTCATGGCCTGGGCCAGGTGAGACAGGAGGACAGACAGACCGGGCCTGACAAGCCCCATTCCCATGGCTCCGCAGACACCTGGCCCTAGTGCCAGGCTCTGTCACAGGAGCCGGGGGCACAGCAGCGCCCTCGAGCCACTCGTTCCAGTGGGATGATTTAGTGGTCCGCGAGTGCTACACGGGGCCCTGGGTAAGGAGGAAGAGGGCATGGGGGGAGGCAGGGACCCGGCCAGAGCCAGACGAGGGCCAGAGCGAGCACCGCAGGCCCTGTACTCTGAGACAGGAACCCCTTGTTGGGGGATGGGGGCAGCTGAGCAGAGGAGACAAGAGCAGGTCTGTATTTGTGGAGGGTCCCTCCAGCTGCCTTCTCTGGGCTGGCAGGGGCGGGCAGCAGAGGAGGAGACCACAGAGGGCCAGCGCAGAGGCCGGCAAAGAAGGCCCAGGAACTTGGGCAAGGCCGCAGCATCAAAGCAGCCGGTTCTGGGTGTGATCGGAGGCAGCCCTGAGGGAGCACCCATAGGTGAACCTCATTCACGAGGAAGGGCTTCTGCATTTGCAAATTCACCTACTTTGAAGATGGCTTTGGGGGGCAGCAGGTGGCACAGTGGTTATGCCATTGGACTCCCATGTGGTCAACTGTAGTTTGAATCCCAGGCCTGGCTGCTTTAAACTCACTCCAGGCACGTGTGTGTGTATGCACAAAATACCAGCAGGAGAAGGGAGGAGAAGGAATTGCAGCGTGGCTATCCCCCCTGGGGGATGCTTTCTTGCTTTCTGCCTCTCTCTTTCTCTGGCGAGCACACACTCCCTATAGCAAAAATCTCTCAGGAAATAAAAACATTTTAAAAAGGAAGAAGAAGGTGACATTTAGCCCCTGAATCAATACTCGCGGCACTTCGGGGTCACTCAGCCATGTCTGAGTTGCCGGATACGCATTTTCCGCTGAGGATGGAAAAGCTGCAGCACCCCACTTCTTGTTCCAACTCTCATGCTGTAGGCAAGTGTCCCTTTCAGGGTCTGTTTAGAGCCAGGCTCTTCACACGTGTCGTTTCTTGATAGTTTCACGTTTAAGCGGCCTGAGCGTGAGCACTCGTGAAGCCAGCAGTGAGCCTTGCTGAGAAAGCGCGCTTCCTCCGGGCGTGAGCTGCAGGGCTGGCCCGTTAGTGGTCGACAGCACATGCAGGGTACGGCGTCTTTAAGCAGAAGCACGGGCACGGGGCCGTCAGTTACTGTGAGGAGGCGCTCAGGAACCTAATCCTGTTCCCCGAGGAGCCAGGGTTCCTTCCGTATCCCCTAACTCCAGGTTTGTGGTGACTTCTAGAACAGAGCCACTGTGAAGCACAGGATGGGCTGTACTGGAGAGGAGTGGGGTACCCCCCGCAGCTGAAGAAGCTACCCGGAGCCTCCACACCTCCAGCAGGTGTGCAGAGAGAGAGCGGCAGTTAGAAAGTGGAGAGGGGAACCTTCCAGAGCTCTGCAGGGCCCCACTGCCCTCACACATAGGAAGACAGATCCCTGCCTGGCTGCTGAATGGGGACAAAGCATTGTGCATGGGGGTGCCTCCGTGCCTGGTCCGCTGGTAGTGTCCCCTCCAGAGCTGGGCACTTGCCCTGGTGGCACATTTCTCTGGCCCCTTGACAGCCAACGCCTCATTTGAGGTTCTAGTTCTGTTTTTATTTTTAATTATAAAATACTCATAACCTAAAATCTTGGGGCCAGCAGGTGGCAAGTGGGTAAGGCAGTGGATTCCCACACGGTCGACCATGGTTTGAGTCTTGGACCCAGCAGCTTGAAAATCACACTGGACACCCATGTGCATGCCCCAAATCCCAAGAAGAGAATGGAGGAGACAGGATTGCAGCATGGCCATCTCCCTTGGGGGAGTGATTTCTCACTTTCCCTCTCTGTCTCTCTCCAGCGAGCCCATACACCCTCAAAAAGATCTAAAAAAAAAAAAAAAGCCACCCTCCTACATTGTCGGTTTGCGGTGTGGTGCTGAGCGTATTCACGTGGGTCAGCCAGACTCCCGACCTTTGTCGTGTAGACGCAAAACTCTGTGCCCATCAGCACCATCTTGCCCACCCACCCCTAGTAAGCACGAGGCCTCCTTCACCTCGTGGAAGTGAAGAGATGCACCCCATCCAATTTATTTTTTCTTTCTTCTTCTTTTTTTTATTTAATTTTTTCTTGAGAGAGAAATTTTTGCTCTACAGTTACCAGAGAGACAACAAGAGAAGTCATCCCAGGGGGCTTGGCCACGCCACGATTTCTTCTCCGTTCTTCTCTAAGGATCTTGGGCACACACACGTGAGCACACCATGAGTTTTACAGTCCAGGACTTGAACCGCAGTTGGCTGTGCAGGAGTCCAACACCTTAATCACTGTGCCACCTGCTGACCCCACACATCCGTTTTCTGTGACCAGCCTCTTTTCACCAGTGTCCTCCGGGCCTCTCCTGGGGTGGTGCGTGCAGACTCCGTCCCTGTCAGGGCTGGGTCAGGCTGCTCTTGGCCTAGAGGTCTGGGGCCCGCTCCGAGGCGCCGCTGGTCCACCTGGCCAGGCAGTGAACGGCTTCATCACTGGGCACATGCGTCTCCAGACGACCCGGCTCCTGCCCCAGGCGAGGCTTCTGGCTGAGGCCCCATTATGTCCCCCCAAGCTGATGAGTCACCACCACGCTAATCTTGTTAGCTGAATGAAGTGATGGCTTCCCAGACTGAATTACACAGCGAGCATCCCTTGCTCCCCACGTGGCACAGTAGATAATCCTTAAATGATAGGACCTGCGACTCAGTTAAACATGCCCCCCTTCATGCTTAGAGGAAAGAAAAATGCACCTCAGTAGCCGGGCCTCGGTCGGAACGCGCTGGTGAAGGCCTGGGAGGGGCGCGTGAGCCGGAGCCCCGAGTGCACTCTCAGCACCTGCAGGCGAGGCAGGGCCTCAGTCCGCCCCACCTCCCCGACATGCCCCCATAAAGTGCCTGCTGACAGACACTTTCCTTCCTTCCTTCCTGAGCAGCCAGCCTCGAGCAGGTGTAACTGGGTTGACTTTGACCCCGAAGGACATTGACAATGTGCGCAAACATTTTTGGCCATCACCACTGAGATTGGGGGTGGAGAGGATCTACCAGCATGTAGCAGGCAGAGGTGAACACCCGCAGTGCACGAGAAACGTGTGGGCCCAATGTGAGCAGTGCGAGGCTGGGGAGCCTGGCCAGGAGCAGCCCAGCCCGGCCACCTTGATCCCTAGGGCCACCTGTGCTGTGGGAGGGGTCATGCGGGGCTAGCCCACCCAGGACAGAAGGGAGGCCCGGGGGGTGGGGGGTGTTCAGAGATGGATGCGGGTGGCTGGAGTTTATTAACTTATTCTCCAAAAAAATCTGCAAGCCCTACTATGTGCTAAAAGCTGAGGAAAGAGTAGAGCAAGACTCGGACGCATCACAGGTAGACGACATGTAGGCTCCTTAACAAAGATCACTTCCCGAGGCCAGCAGATGGTGATGTGATTGACGCAGTGGACTCCCACATGGCTGACCACAGTTCGAGTCCCAGGCCTAGCAGCTTTCTCTCTCTCTCTCAACTCTGTCATCTCTCTCTGGTGATCACACATGCCCTGTAGCAAATTTTAAAAGCAAATAATGATAAGTAAATGATTTAAAGCAAAACAAAAAAGATCACTTCCCATGGTGAGAAAGGTGTGATGGAAGCATGCCAAGAAGTGTCAGGTGGGGGGTGGCGTGGCCCAGGAGTGGTGGCCGTTGACCTTGAAGAGAGCACCAAGTGCACAGGAGGGACAGGCCTGTCACCTGCAGACCGAGAGCTCTGAGCAGGAAAGAGGAATCCCAAGGCCTGCAGGTGACAGGCCGTCCACCTCCCAGCCCAGCATGGGGTGAGGGGGTGTTGGCACAGCGGGCAGGGTGGTCCTGTCACACGGGGCTTTCCAGGCCAGGGGAGGTGGGTGGCCAGGCCTATCACCACTGTGGAAGCCCCAGGCACTGAAAGATCCACCAGTGTTTCACGTCCTCCCCAAACAGCCCCATTAGGTGGGCACTGTCACGGGACGTAGCACCCCAGAGGCAGCTAGTCACACGTGCACTCAGAATCTGCACCCAAGCAACCCAAACTCTCAGCCGTGGGTTACACAGGCTCACCCAGATCCCAGCCCTGCTGTGCAGCAGGAAGGGGACCTCTAGGACCCTAGAAACAAATGATGAAGGGACACCTGCTACAGGCAAAGCTCTTCTGGAAGGGGCCAGGGCACTGTGGGCTGTGCAGCCAGCTCGGCCCCACCGTTGGGGTGGCCAAAACACAAGAGCACCTGTGTCCCAGGGCGACTTTGTGTCCAGAGCCAGGTGGGGCTGGGCTATCCCCGAGGCCACAGGGAGATGTCAGCACCAGGGCGCGGGTCCTGGCCTGGACCCTGAGCTCTGGGAGGAAAACAGGCCGGGAGAAAGCGCCCCAGGGCCAGAAAAGGCCCAAGACTTTTCCAAAGGGAGGGAGTCTCTCCAGACCCTCAGTGGGTCCTTTGGGCCTCAGGACTCTGACATGTGGAGTCTGAGAGTGAGATGAAAACATTTTCCCACCTGGAGTGTTGGCCTGCAGCTCTGAGGCTGGGTCCCTTCCTCCCTGCTCTGCCTTCCGCAGTCCCCCTTGTCGCCACCTGGTGGTCACTCAGGACCCAGCAGAAACATGGCCCATATCCGGCTCCTGGCAGTCTAAACCGCGAACGTTAGAGGGCGAGGGGGAACTTCAGTGCATGCTTGGGTCAGCGCTGGGCAAGGGCAGGCGAGCAGAGGTTTTGTTGTTGTTTTCAGAGGTCTTTGCCTCAGGGTGCATGCGCTTTCTAGGGAGAGAGAGACAGAAACAGTGAGAGGGAAAGTAAGAAACCACCCCCCATGAGGGATGGCCATGCCACAATCCCTCCTCCTCCCAGGATCTTGGCCACACACGCACACTCACCCAGCATGCGTTTCAAGCCACCGGATCCGGGACACGAACCGTGATCAGCTATGTGGGAGTCCAGTGACATAACCACTCTGCCATCCACTGACCCCAGGCAAGCAGAGTTTTAAAGCAGCAAGGAATGGCAGCAACTGCGGCCACTAGCTTGAGGGCTCCTGCCCGTCCTGACCCTGGAGAGCTCTGGGGCCACTTTCCACAGGGTCCCACAGAACCCACCCCATTGGCTCAGTACACATGTGACACAAGTGTCCTGGCGGCCCACACACCCTCCTAGCTTCCGCAAAAGCACCTGTCGCTCACCCCACTGCTTGCTCAGTGGCTGCTTCCGGGGAAACTGAGCCTTGGGGAAGCTGGGCGACTCCCCCTGTTGCCCTTTTCTACCAGAGAGGAAAGTGCTGCATAGTTCTTCTTTGTTTTCTCCCAATTTAAAACAGTATGTTCATATCCATGTGTTTTTTTCATTGAGATCAAGTCACATAACGTGAAACAGTCTTTACCACTGCATACGCCCCGTTAGCGCTGGACTCCGTGTGTGCAGCCGCTGGTCCTCTCTAGTTCATGCGTTCCCTCTCCCCGGGGGACCCCACCCTGTGAAGCAGGCATGCTGCTGGCCACTAGCCCCCACCCCTGGTCCGCTTCTGCCCCTCGGCTGCTGCCTGGGTTCACACGAACTGAGCAACCTCAGTGTCTGGCCAGCATGATGCTTTCGACGCTGAACGGGGATTTGAACAGGCCACCATCTGGACGGGTGTGCCATGCCCTCCTCCAGTCCATGCCTAGCTCATGCTCGGGATGCTCTCGAGCCAGGGCTTCTCAGCTCCGGGGCTTCAGTCTCCCCAGTGGAAGCACCTCGAGGTCCCTCCAGGCTCTGAGACCTCCTTCTGGGTGGGAGAGCTCATGAACCTCATGAACCTCAAGTCTCGGGTGACACTGAGCCTCACACGTGGGAGCCTGGCTTGCTCAGACGGGCCTGGTGCGGGGGGACCTGGCAGCCCCGCGTGGCCTCCTAAGACAGCCCCGCTCTGACACCACAGAGTACAAGGCCGGCTATGCCCGGAACCGCTCCATCCGCTCCGTGGCCATCGAGGTGGACGGCCAGGTGTACCACGTGGGCCTGGACGCCGCCTCCCTGCGCCACAACCTCACCAAGCGGCACCGGCCAGGGGCCCCTGAGGACCAAGACGACAAGGACGGTGGGGACTTCAGTGGCACAGGAGGCCTTCCAGACTACTCAGCCCCTAACCCCATTAAGGTGACACACCGGTGAGTCTAGGCAGAGGTGGGGGCGAGGGGGCAGCCTGGGCCTCGTGACCCCTCACCCCCGTGGTGACATGTGACCCCTTCTCCCCGAGCAGGTGCTACATCCTGGAGAATGACACAGTCCAGTGCGACCTGGACCTGTACAAATCCCTGCAGGCCTGGAAAGACCACAAGCTGCACATCGACCACGAGGTGAGCAGAGCAGGGCCGGGGCAGGTGCTCAGCACCGGGGTGCGGCAGGGCCGGAGCCTGCACTGGGGAAATGGCAAGGCCGGTCTCCACAGAATCCTCGATGCAGGGACAGGGGCTTCCGCCCTAGTGGCAGATGGACAGCTTCCCCAAAGGACAACTGAGTCACGCCATGCCCCTCGTGACTCATGAGATGCCTCCTCCACCCTCGGTCCTTGCAGCAGCCTCTGGGGAGACCTCAGGCCCTCGGGGGCTCAGCTGTTCTTGGCAAACCAGGACAGAGCATGGCTCACTTCCAGGCCAGGGCCTGGTTGGTGGGGCAGAGGCTCCAGGAACCCCCTCGGCACCCCAAGATGCAGACATTGGCCAGGAATGCTGCCCACTGCTGCTGGGCACAGACAACACGGCAGGGCTGGGACAGCCACCAGGCCGAGCCCTTGTGGGGTTTCCAGGCCAGCCCGCCAGGAATTCCAGGCCTCCCCTCGTCCCTTCCCTCAGATCGAAACTCTGCAGAACAAAATTAAGAACCTGCGGGAAGTCCGTGGTCACCTGAAGAAAAAGCGGCCAGAAGAATGCGACTGTCACAAAAACAGGTGAGGAGGTGGTCAAGGGCTGCCTGCCAGGCCAGCAACGCCCCGTGTTGTTCCTGGGGCTCTGCAGCTCCCCTCGATACTGACCTCGCTCGTGACGGCTTTCCCCCATCTCCTCCCCTCGGGGTGAAGTCAGGAAGTCACGCCCCCACCCCACGCAGACCCTGCTCAGGCCGTCAGACAGGGCAGAGTCGGCGCTGGTGACCAGGCAGCTCCTGCCCTGCGGAGCTGGTTCCAGGCAGGAACTAGCCGTGCGGATCAGGGTTCCCGTCATCAGCCCAGAAGCCCCCTGGCCCAAGGCTCTGAGTGCCAGAGCAGCTGTAGGGGACTTCGTGGTGGTGGGCACGAGCTGAGTGGGGCCACAGAGCACCTGCAGTGTGGCCAGTGGCTGAGACGCTGTATCTTACCCATTTTATACTCAGCCGCACGTGGCCAGTGTCTACATGCTGGGCAGCCACGCTGTAGTCCCTGCCGCCTTCCCAGGGGTGTGGACAAAGGACTCCCCCTCACCCCTGCTGGGGCAGCCCCTGAGCAGGCGTGAGGTGGGCTGGGTGGTAGGGAGCCACCCCCGGGGTGCGAACCTGATGCCATGTGAAGCCAGGCCAGTGTCCAATCCTGGCTAAATCCCACCTACCTAGCCTTACAGAGTCTGGCCCGAGTCTTCAGCCAGGCAGGGAGGTGCTGCCCCGGGGACAGCAGTGTCCTCTTCCCCACTACCCCAGGAAGGGATGGGGCTGTGGCAGCAGCAGCATGTGGGAGTCCCAGGGACCTGCTGGAGTGGCCCTGGACACTCCTTAATCCGGGCGGGGTTCTATTACAGTTACCACGCCCAGCACAAAGGCCGCCTCCAGCACAAAGGCTCCAGCCTGCACCCTTTCAGGTAAGAGAAGCTTACCCAGGGGAAGGGGCGCCAAGGCCCTCAAAAGGCGGTTCCCTCCACCCCAACTTAAAGCAAAAAGGAAAGCCGAGAAGTCCCCACCTCCCTCTGGGAGCCTGTGAAAATCTCCTTGGAGACAGGACTCCCAAGTCAACACCGAGCAGGTCTCTCGGCGCCTCCTAGTGGCTACATGCGGTTGCTGCAACCCTGCCCCTGGTCCTCTTCCCCCTTCAATGCTGCCTTGGGAACTTCAGTGGGCCACAGGGCGATAGACCGGGCTCTGGCCCCAGATCTGCCTTGGAGCAGCAGTGGGTCTGCGCCCTCGATGGCCGGGTCCACGGTTTAACAGAGAAGACTCCGCCCAGCCCCTGGGAAGACAGCAGGGGCAGAGGCTCGGGGTCGCTGATCCGCCAGAGGCTGAAGGTGCATGGCTTGTGCCTGCAGGAAGGGTCTACAGGAGAAGGACAAGGTGTGGCTGCTGCGGGAGCAGAAGCGCAAGAAGAAACTCCGCAAGCTGCTCAA